CGCTGAAACAGCAACATAGTGGGACAACAAGCAAGTATTCACCACAAACCCTTTTGGGCCTCATTTTAATCTCACACCAGTCTTGAACAAGCTAAGTCTATTGGCTTCAGTGTAATTGTTCATGATTTGTATCAACACCAGATAAAATGGGGGCTCATGGTCTCAAGCCTCTGTGTGTCATGGGTGTACATACTCAGCAGACTCTCTGCTCTTAACTCCTTTCCCTCAGAGTGCATTCTTTGGAATTGTTTCATCATTTCCTATGATCTGATTATACCACTAATTTGGATATGCTACAGTGCATTATGTGTTGTGGTTGCAACGTCATATTCCTGGGTATGAGTAACAAAGTTCATTGTTCCACGGGACTAGCTAAGAAATGCCACACACTTATTTCACAAAATCGGCTCTATTGCTTTCATTTCCAGACAGTGAAATGCATAAGCAGTCTCATATATTAGTGGAGTACTGACATTGGCTGCACACAGGGGTAAGCCATAAACATGCTGCTGTAACTTTCTTTTTGAGGGAGATATGCCAGGAATCTTGACTTCCCAAAGCAGAGTTGGCAGGAGTGAGCATCCTCTTGACACACGAAATACAGCAGCTGTCAGACCCAACCGTACCATAGTTCCCTTGCCAAAGACTTTCCCCAATGCAAATATGGGATGTTTAGACAAACAAGGAACCAAACCAAGAGGTTCTGAAAACTTGTAGAGGGACTCCATTAAATGGAGCATGCTACAAAATAACTTAATTTCAAAGTGTTGTATTTCAGTTATACTGGGTCTCTTCCTCTTGAAATACTAAAAAGCATTAGCTTGAGGATTCTGTGAAGGGAAAGCAACTCATTTGTCTAACTTGTAAAAAAAATCTGCCAGATGTATTCCACAAAATACACTCACATTACTCAGATAAATATTGGAGTAACACCTGTCAATTGCATTCATGCTTTCTAATCCTGCTCAAAAAATGGGAAGGTATAATATGCAGCGTTTCAAGTACTATCCTTTAAATCCTGAAACCTATGTCTTTTTGCAGACACTTGCTGTCCCTTGTATATAGGAAGTCCTCAGACTTAAAACACAATTGGTTCCTGAAAACCATGCCTTAAGTCGAAACGTTGTAAGTTCGAACCAATTTTCCCATAGGAAACACTTATAAATAGATTTCATAGACATTAGGGCTGGAAAGGACCTCGGAAGATCATTGAGTCCAGCCCCCTGCCCCAGAGCAGGAAGTCAGCTGGGGGGCCTAAGGCAGGGCCTGTCGAGCAGAGCTGGAGGCAGCCCGGCGGGACTCCGGGCAAGCCCCGCTCCCCTCCCTTGGTTCCTGAACCTAGGCCCGATACCCTATTTTCACCCAAAATAACCCAGAATTTTGTACTCAATCAATTACAGATAAGTAATATAGCTACATTAATGTGTTTATATTGTAAATAGCAATCATATTGATTTGGAAGGACTTCTTTGAGGAGACTTTGCTGGACGTTTTGAAGGGCTCTTGGCTGGAGTCTTCTCAGGAGTCTTGGCTGCAGGTTTTCCTGGAGTCTTGTCCGCTTTCTTAAAGAAAGTATCCAAGGAAGTTTGGACTAATGTTTTCCAGGGAGATGGGTGACGTTCACTGGCATGGCTTGGCATCCGATCAAGTGTTGTAAAGTTGAAACTGATGTCAGAGAGTTGAAACGGGTGCAGTTTATAAGTGTTGTAAGTCAAGGACTGCCTGTACTCATACTGGTTTGCTACAGTGGGCTGGAAGGCTGCTGGCATTCATTTTCAGCATTAAAAAACAAAAACAAAATTGGATCGACCTGTGATCTAAAAGGTAGTGCAAAAAGAATTATGCCGGCTGAGTTCAGCTTGGCCTCTTGCTATTTGCTGGCAGAAACAATATGCTCAATATAGCCACTTGAAATTTTCCACACACTTTTTTCATTTACCACCCCACCACCACTCACACACCTTTTCTTTTTGAAGAATAGAAACTTTGGGGGAAATGAATTCTTTCACCTGAAAATTTCTATCCCCTTAACAAGCATTCACTTTCGCTGCTTTGCTCTTCTCTCCCCATCCCATGTTTTCTCCCTTTTTCTGTTGAAAATAATAGATAAAAGGGAGTATGGAGGAGGAGGAGTGGCGAGGACACAAACCACTGAAGTTTACGTTCATTTTCTTCTAAGCGTTTACAAAAAGAAAAATAATGTGAAATGTGTTACTTGTAAAGTGAGATTTTGGTGAGTCTTCCAGACAGCTGTGAAGCTGGGGCCCAGGCTAGTGCCCTGGCTGCAGATGTACTTCTGAGAGCGGAGGAAGAATTTGGCTGGGGAGGTATCTACTCTTCTCAGCTGGAAAGGAGTCCTGTGAACACAAGGGTGCTAAGAGCAATCTGGTCCTGTGGGGAAACCCCAGGAAAATTAAATATCCTGAAATGACTGCATAAGAAAAGTCATCTACCAACTGCAGAGCTAGAACAAATCTAAACTATTCCTAAAGAGATTTGATCCCCTATCCCAGCAGGCTGTTTCCAAAACTAGATGCCTCCTCCCGGCTCCCTGACATCACTCCAGCAACAAGGAGGAGCTGGCTTCCTGAAAGCAGGAGGCTGCTGCATACACCCCACCCCAGCTCCATTATTCTTTTGCATCTTCCCACCTTTTGTCACTACCTACTACAAATGAGCCATCCCAAAACAAAAAACACAGGGCCAATGACACTGTCCTCCTGTTCTTGGCTGAGATCCTGTGCTAGATAACCTGGAAACCTGCTGTTACTACAGACAGTCTTCAACTTACAATGTTTCGAGTTACATTTCACACTTGCAAGGTTTATAAATTGACACCGTTTCAACTTTCTGAGGTCAGTTTTGACTTTACAACACTTGATCCAATGCGATCCCAAGCCAGCGAACAAGTTCGCTGTATTGCCCATCTCCCTGGAGAACATCTGTCCAAACTTCCTTGGACACTTTCTTTAAGAAAGCAGACAAGACTCCAGGAAAACCTGCAGCCAAGACTCCGGAAAAGACTCCAGTCAAGAGCCCTTCAAAAAGTCCAGCAAAGTCACCTCAGACAAGTCCTTCCAAGTCAATATGGTTGCCATTTATAATACAAATACATTGATGTAGCTATATTACTCATCTGTAATTGATCGAGTACAAAATTCTGGGTTATTTTTGGTGAAAATAGGTTATCGGGCCTTGGTTCAAGAACCAGTCCCCCATTTATAACATTGTTTCCCATGGGAAAAATCGGTTCTGAGTTACAACGTTTCGACTTAAGAGCTGTTTTCAGGAACCAATTGTGTCCTAAGTCCGAGGACTGCCTGAACTGCCCATGTCCAGCTTGCTCCTCTTTTGCAAAAGGCCTGGGGGAGCAGCTCTCTTGAACCAAACGTTCTCTGTGGGCCTCCAAGCCCTCTCCTCCCTTTCTGCCTGCAGTTATGGGCCCGGCTGCCTCCCCCCACCCGTGGCATCCCAGGCTGGTAGCAGTTTCTCTTACTGCTACTTTAGGGAAGGCTCCTCAGCACCAGCCCCTCTCAGCAGCAGGCCGCCCTCGCCTGCCCAGGCGTCCCTTTTGCTGGCAATGCCACCGCTGCCTTCCCCAGGCAAGGGGCCCCCCGCCCTGTCATTTGCGTGGCCCCAAGTCTTCATAGACGCCAGGGCAGGAAGGGACCGCGGAAGATCATCGAGTCCAGCCCCCGCCCCAGGGGCAGGAA